CTAATACAAAAGATTTAGGCAACACAATGTAGTTTGTCATGAGTTCACTTGCTATCCTTTGTGTATTAATTAGGCAAGTCAAGTAGTTATTAGAACATTGGAAAGCCCCCTACAGCTGCACTTCAATGGTGTTATTTTACCCCTGCAATTGCTGGGGTAATTTCCTTATGTCAAATGCCTTAAATGTTCTAAGCACTGCTTCCTTAAGTGGCCAAACTGAATTTCAAGCAGTTTGACTTAGGAGTTTCTAATAAGGTTATTCTTCCGCATAAAAGCTGGGTTTTGCTCAAACTGATGCTATATACTTCCTCCTCAAAAAGTAGGAGTTTTGCTCTTACTGTTGCTAGCAGGAGCAACACCCCCTTGTCTTGCAAGCTGTACTTGTGAGAGTCTACGCTAACTGTTCACAGCAAAGTCCAACTTGTATTATGCACCTCAGACATTAGAGTTCAGTTATGCAGTAGGCCATTTGCTCATTTAAACAAGTTGGGAGTAGCCTGCTAGACAAAGTTTCATGCACTTTACATGAAGTGCAATTGTCTGGATGATGCACTATATTACCCCTATAATTCGGGCTCTCCCACAACTTCCTGCAAATCGTTACACATCTCAAATGGAGAAAAAACACCCTGGTCTACAAAACTTCTCTCCCCCCTGAGAATTAGTTCTATTCAAAAGAAGCCAAACAAAGCAAAGCTAGCAAGCATGGAAGTGTCAGGCAGAAGAGAGGCACCTGATGACCAGTCTATCACTAATTTCACAAAGCAATTTACACCAACTGGTAAAGCATACAAACTGGCTGCAGCATACTTTTGCAGCACAGCCAAAGGCTTCGGTCCGTTCTGGAAGTGCAACAGTTTACCAAAAGCAGAATTTTCCTGCTTTGAACCTGGCCAGTGACAGTTTTAACATTTTTCAGTTAAAGCTGTTCTTTAGGACATTTCCAAATTTGTAAATCTTGAGACCTTTTGCCAATTTGTTTGGCTAAACCCAAACTTTTTGTTTGGACATTTTCAAAGTCACAGATCAGTTTCAGGAACAAGCTAAGTTTTTTGTAGCAATAGAAATCCTGAAACATCCCAAGTTGACAGAGGTCTTGACCAATTCTGTCTGGCAGGGAAGTTTGCACCATTGTAGATAAAAAAAGTTGCCATGTTTGGGAGTAGAGTAACTTTTAGATATCTAACATTAGGAGAAGACCTGAAGAGATTTAACACTTACTAGAACACAAGGACCAAACCTGTTAAGCCAAAGAAAGATGCTTGTAAACAGACATGTCATTGTGGTACCTTCATTTGTCAAATACTGTTTATAAGCAAGTCTTTCTGGTTTGATGAATGGCTGTCAAGTCAAAAGACACCTCTGATGTATACCCTGCTGGTTCCTTCTGGGGTTCTTGGAGCCATAGGGTCTATGCTTCCAGGGTAGCCTCACTATACCAAGCTTGCTGCCATTGAGTCCAAGGACTTAAAGGCTGCTGGCCCATTTTGAACTTTTCCCTTAGTGTCCAACTCAAGTTTTCATAATTCTACACTTGACACTTACTTGGGCTGGAGCTCTTAGGACCTCATGGCACACGTGCCATAAAGATGCAAATCTGACTAGAACAGAAGTTTGTTGTTATCAGCATGTGGAGGGGAAATTAAATCCTAACAATCCCAGAACACTGAAGTTTAAATTAAAGATTTTTCTGGAGACCATAAGTTGTTTAAGCTTCCTGCTGAAAGTTGAAAATTTAAGTGAAAGGGAATTATAGATTTGCCTGAAACCTGTATTTCACCCATGTCATCCAGAATGCTTTTACGTTGCTTTGCTAGATGTAGTTAGGTCTGGTATCACTGCATTTGTCAGTACTGGCCAGTATGCAAGCAAATTTATCCGAGGGTTATGTAATAAGCAAGTGAACTGCAAGTTCACTTGCAGTTAGGGATACATATAGGTTACCAAATTTTAAAAGCATTAAGAGCAAGACAAAGCACCAAGCATGAACCAGTAAGCCCTTAAATTGGTTTCTCCTACTGCAAGTGAAGAGGAAATGAAGTGTTCACATTACTCTAATATCTGGAAGACTTGATAACTGGGAATTTAATGCTAGCTATGCAAGCCAGAAACCTCAGATGTTCAGACCTATGCAAATAACTGTTATGAACTTTTGCAGACCTCTTTCATAGTGGTGTTTTTAAATGCAGAACTAACCAAAGTGATGATCCTGCTTCAACTTGCATCTGAGGCCTTGCAGAAAACTGAACTAGAACATCTGTCTGAACATCTGAGGTTTCTGGCTTGCATAGCTAGCATTAAATTCCCAATTATCAAGTTACATAAACCCTAGTTTAGCCACCAAATAAGTGTACATGAAAATAAAGAGGTCATCCACTAGTCAGAAAACAGACAGGCCACACAGTGACAAGTCAGACTACTTACTATTTGGAGTTTGATAGTCTTCCCATCTAACTCTATAGTTCTGATTTTAAAGTCCACACCAATTGTGCTGATGTAGCTTTCTGTGTATGTGTCATCCTAGAACAAAAAACCAAACCTGCATTTAATGATCACCAGAAGTCAGCATATCTTAAATTCTCTCCTGTAAGAAAGTAGGACAACTATACAAGTCAAACAAAATACATTAATTTGACCATCTTCTATAACATTATGTTTTGGGGCATGGACTATGCTATACACCAAGTGTGTAGTCCAATAGGGCAATTAACAAGGATCTTCAGTCCTACTGACAGATTAAGTCACATTTTAAGAATGTCATTTAGCAGCTTTTGAAAAAAATCCTACAAAATGCTAAGAGTCTAAATCTTGTACCAAAGCCCCTCTGTCCAAGTTTGGTCAGTCTTGTTAATGAAGTGAAGAATCTGCAAATCAGTCAGTTGTCCTACTAGAAACCCTGCCGTTAGGGATGTTCAGCCATCCCTTCTTTAAGTTCCTAAGCAGTTTTGCCTCCAAGTATCAATTTTATTACCATTTATAGTTGGGACCTAATTTTTTTTTTTTTTT